CACCTCCCCACCTCCTCACCTCCTGCTTCTGCAGCAGCCCGTCCTGGTTCAGGTCCAGAAGACTGAAAACCTCCTCGGTGCTGATGGAGAGCAGTTGCTGGTTGGACTCCTCCTGCTCCTGGCTGAGTGATGGAGTCAGGCTCTCCATCAGACCCTTCAGCTGAGCCAGCTGCACCACCACCCGACACTCCTCCTCCGTCAGGAAGCCAGGGATCTCTGGCAAGAAAAAGGCAACAGAGGGCGTTAAGATGCATTCAAGTGAAATCAGACGTATGAAAACTTCGAGGGTTGCTAACCTCCTCCTCTCCCCACGGGTTGGTAACCAGACAAAGTGACTCAAATACTACTGCGTACTCACCAAACAGCAGAGGTTTTAGGCTCAGTGTCATCATCTTGTGTTTTTTCCCAGGCACCAGCGACACCTGCTGGACATGTCCTACCTGCACACAGGCAGAGGACAGGGGACAACATAGATTATACATGAACTCAAAAACACAGTATGTAGCAGGTGCAGTACTACTACTAGTACTAGCTCTAGTAGTACTAGTACTAGTACTACTACTAGTACTAGCTCTAGTAGTAGTAGAACAGCCTGTTGTCGCTCTGTTACACATCCATTGGTTTTAGATTGATGTCAGGACTTTTTTTTTTTTATTATAACGTTTATTTGACTAAAAGTTTAACTAGTTTAACAGATAAACAGTTTTGTTAGCAGCCAGCAGGGTCCGCTGTTCTGTGTTTTGAGACAGGGTAAAATATTTCCATTGAATAATCAGTGACGTGTATGAATGTGACATGAATGAAGTGACAGTGAAAACGTTACTTTACTCACCCGTATCCCCTCAATGCGAGGAAGGCTGAAAGTTCGCCCGGAATCCTCCACTCGCACCGGGCCCTGGGGAGAAACGGAGCCGGAGCCGGAGCCGGAGCCAGGGGGGCACAGGGAGCTTGGGACGGCCAGTGCCGCTGCCGAGGCCCCATCTACACTCACCAGGTCCCCGACTCCGTTGTTGTAGTGCACGTAGAGCAGCAGCGCGATCACATTCAGGATGTAAACATGGAAGAAGACCATGACGACGACGAAGTAAGCCCGGGAGCAGACCGAGCTCCGCTGGACCTGCAGCCGAGAGGAGCGAGGAGAACCGTACGGAGGCGACGGTTTGTCGCTGCTGTCATCGGATTCCTCCTGTTCCAAAAGGTTATCTGGAGCCTCCTTCATTTTCCACAACAAAACACTGAAACGTCTGCGGTAACGATCAGCGACTGTGCGGCGTTCTCGTCTCTGACATTACACCGGACGTTAGCACGGAAACTGGGCTAAACACTAAGCTATCTACGAAGAAACATCACGGCAGACAACAGTGTCAGCATGTACCGACCCCCCCGGCTGCTGCCCCCGCTGCTGCCCCCGGCTGCTGCTGGGCTAAAGTGCAACACTACTGCTGCTCCGACAACCAGCTGAGCGCTTGGTAACCATGCTAACAGCTAACAGCTAACAGCCACACAGGAAGTGATGTTCAATATAAGCTAACACGGCGCGCCCTCTGGTGGCCAGCACCAACTCAAGCCTTTTTCAGACCAGGGTCCATACGTTTGAGGTGGAACCGACCATTCAGTCCGACGGTATTTGAACCATTACTGTTGTAGATGAACACGTGATGACGTCACTTTATCACTTTGTTGTTTACGTCTTTCTTTGTATTTACTGTGTTTGACTCTCTGTCTGCAGCTACGTTGAGTTTCCAACAGAGAATCCGTGGCCAGATATGAATACATTCATTACAAACAAACTATTTTATGAGATCAGAGTCTGATTTTTTTTTTTATTTTTTCAATAGAAACAGGTTTTTATTGATTTTGTTTTAACAAATCACATCAACGTGTGTTTTGACAAAGAGACAACTGTACAGTTTGACTGAAGGTGTTTTGATCACGTGGCTCATTGGCCCAGAGACAATGTTGTCATGTCCAGTTTTGACCAATCAAAAATCCATGCTTTTCAAAATCCTTCTGAGAGTACACAGTACACAGTACACAGTACTCAGTACTCAGTACACAGTACACAGTACACAGTACTCAGTACTCAGTACACAGTACACAGTACACAGTACACAGTCCACAGTACTCAGTACACAGTACACAGTACTCAGTACACACACAGGTATATCTTACCTGCAGGTGGACTTTCATCCATCCATCCATCATCCATCCATCATCCATCATCCATCCATCATCCATCATCCATCCATCATCCATCATCCATCCATCATCCATCATCCATCCATCATCCATCATCCATCCATCATCCATCATCCATCCATCATCCATCATCCATCCATCATCCATCATCCATCCATCATCCATCATCCATCCATCATCCATCATCCATCCATCATCCATCATCCATCCATCATCCATCCTCCATCCATCATCCATCCATCATCTATTCATCCATCCATCCATCATCCATCCATCATCCATCATCTATTCATCATCCATCCATCATCCATCATCTATTCATCCATCCATCATCCATCCATCATCCACCCATCATCCATCCATCATCCATCATCCATCCAACCTTGATGGTCATCATGGTCAGACAACCTGATCTAACCAGATGAACCAGGATGAATAACCAGCTGTAACCAGATGTGTCCAGGAGAAGTGAAGACGTTCAGTCAGAAACAGGAAACAGGAAGTAGTTCCACCAACAGCACCAGCGTCTGAGGGTCGTACATCAGCAGGGAGACACCCTGTGGCTGCCGGGGCATAAATCCCTTCATGAGTGGCCTATTATTGCTTTTATATCATAATCAATATTAAAAATGAGTGGGCGGGGGGGCGAGGGGGGGTGAAGAATGCTCTGCTTGTAAAGGCCGACTCGTCCACATGACAAATCGATGTGAGTCTACATTATTCATGTTGACGGATGGTGGTGAGAACTGGAGAGAGAGGGGGAGAGAGAGGGAGAGAGAGGGAGAGAGAGGGGGAGAGAGGAGTCAGTGAGTGGACACTCTCTCCTCCTCAGTCAGTCAGTCAGTCAGTCAGTCAGCCTGACTGACTGACTGACTGACTGACTGAAAGGAGAGTCTTTAGACCACGTGTCAAACTCAAGGCCCGGGGGCCAAATGTGGCCCGCAGTTTCTGAACCTGAGAAACATTTTTTATTGGACAACAATGAACAACAGTTGTAGTTTACAACCGTCCCTTAAGGGGAACTGTACTAATGATGTACCCCCCCCCCCCCCCCGACCCCACCGGATTAGAAGAACACATTTTTACCTCTGGACACACCTGGTAAACCTGGTGTTTCATTTCCATTAAAACCACTGTGATCCTTCAGCTCCAGTTTTCATGCAGCACTGACTGTCTGTTGTCTCTGACTGACTGTACAGCAGGTGGAGGACAACAGCAGAGCGGCGTGGGTGGTTCAAGTCCGACCCGCTCCATCGTTGGTTCTGTTCAGGAGGACGATGTAAAAAAAGAAACAAGGTGATTTTTACTGTCACTGCGTGACCTCAGAGAGCAGAGCGTGGGGGCAGTGGAACCTGCAACCCTCCAGACGCACGTCTGCTCCTCCACCCACAGGAAGACTGCTTCATCAGCTGTTCAACAGACAACTTTAACACACCTTCACATCACACTGTGGACAACAGCAGCAGCAGCAGCAACAGCAGCAGCAGCAGCAGCAGCAGCAGCAACAGGAGCAGCAGCAGCAGGCACAACAG